ATATATATGTGTGTGTGTAAACCCAGCACAATGCCCATGATTATACTAGTTTTGTCACATAACTGACCTACAGTATTTTCTCTTGAACTTGGCTCAGCCAAAATGAATCAGGAAGTGACCTCAAATGGGAACTCTATGGGAAAAGGAACTCCCAGCCTTTGTTTATATAAACACGGGCTGTGTCTCATTTCATGAGTTGCAGCCGACGTCAGCTGCATTTGTTGGCTGCTTACATCACTGCCCCGCGCCGTAGGCTGTCCCAATTCGTAGGCGCCTACATGTGTGGCCGACAAATGTAGCCGACAAGACCGCAAAAACGTCGGCTGCATCTGAGTATCCTACGATGGTATCCCAGAATTCATTGCGCCGTCAGCAAATTAAACAAAAACAAAGGCGGTAAATGTTTTTTTTTTAGGTTATGGCAGAGATTTTTTTGTTTTGTTTTGTTTTTTAAATGACAATTTGGAAATTTATCACAAGTTAAGCGACTTCGCTGAAAAAACTTYTGTTGCAATGAGATGTTAAATAAAATGCAGTCACAATTACTGATACTGGAGCTAAACCCAAATTATTAATACTTTTTATTTATTTACTTGAAACGTTTTTCTATTAAAACTGAATTCTGTGAAGTTACACCTTTTAAAAAAAAACAACTGAAGCGATGTGATATAAAACTCATTTCACARCTGTCGATGCAGCCGACACGAGCGACCTGCGACCCACGTTGATTGAGGCCGTCGGCCGCGGTCTGCGTCTGTTGCAATCCATGAATTGAGACACAGGCAATATTATTTGAACTCTGACTCTTCTTCAWCTCTCTGATGCTGACTCAAAATAATCTAAAGAAACATCAGATTCTTCTCTACAGTCTGTGTTGTTGCCATTTTAGCGATGCTCTCACAAGCAGACATTCCTCTTTGTTGTCGCTTCCTGTTCCCGTGTGAATATCTCAGCAACTGTTCATCTCAGCTGTGTTTTTTGTTATCTTTCCAAAAATACATACATATATATTAAAAAATTGATGTCACAGGCATTTTAAATCTTTGTTCACATCAGGGACATACAAGGATCAATGCCTTCAACTGGTGTAAAATTCGCAAACTGAGCTTTAAGAGGAAACGTTTCCTCATCAAGCTGAGGCCGGATGTAAATGTAAGTAATGTTGCTTGATCTTCCTTCAGGAACACGCACCACCTCAGTGTTTTAAATTATGTTTTCAATATTTCCCTACAGAGCTCATATCAGGACACTTTAGAGTTTCTGATGGCCAACAGGGACTGCTGTAAAGTCTTCTGGAAGATCTGTGTTGAGCATCACGCCTTCTTCCGCCTTTTTGAAGAACCTAAACCCAAACCCAAACCAGTGCTGTTCACACGAGGCTCCTCCTTCAGATTTAGGTAGACATTTTGTCACTTAAATCTGTTCTTCAGCAGGACTGCAGCCACAGTCTGTCACAGCTCCTGTTGAGAAGCTCATTATTATCTCTGTTGTGTACTCGTGCAGCGGTCGCACTCAGAAGCAGGTGATTGATTACGTGAGGGAGTCCGAGTTCAAGAAGATCCCGTTTGAAAGGTAAAGACCGTAGACCACTTCGGACATATTTGGTTCAAGAATGGATGCTGAGATTGTATAACGTCCCATCTGTCAGGAAACACAGTCGGGTCCAGTACAACACTCGAGTTCAGCACAACAGTCGCCTGTCGCCGTTGCCTTCTCCACACCACCATGAAGTGCCAACAGAAGTGAGTCATTTGTGTATTTGTGTTTTAATTTAAGGGTTATTTATCTCTGTTCAATGAATTCTATGTGGTGAAGTTTTAAAATTATTACTGTTTAGTAGTCTAAAGTCATTCCCAAACTTTTCCATGCCAGGACCCCCCCAAACGTCATTAGCTTCTGGCTGGAGACACCCCCACCACCACACACACACACACACACACACACATCGAATGTTACAAAATATGTAAAGAAACATCAACTTTGAGAATGTTTAAATCACTTTTATTCACTATTCAATAAATATTACATTTGTTCAGCAGAAGAATTTTCTTAACTAACATGTTTTAAACACTATTATATTCCTACTGAAAAAAACTACTTTTCAACAAACTGTTCAAACC